AACGCACGCACGGCACGCCACGCAACGACGCACCGCACGCACGCACGCACGCCACGCACAGCAAGCGCACGCACACACACAACACACAGCACCACGCACACTCGTTTGATATAGAATTATATATGATAGTGATATGATGGTGGTTATATTCGCGTGGTTTATTTCAATGCATGCTAGCTACATGAATGTATGTGAAGCGTACGTATGTGAAAGTCTTGTACGTGGGTTCGAAATGGTTATTTGCAAGGACCTGTATATATATATATAATATATATATAATTATCATATATAGGCTTCGTTAGGCATTTTTTTTTCTCGCGCTGGCTGATCTTTCACGGCCATGCCACTTGTGTTTCAAACCAAAACGCTCAGAACCCCACTCTCGCTAGTGATTCATTTCTCACAAACGTCAAGAGCAAATTAATACGCGCCAAAATCGCCAACAACGATTAGGGCGGATGATGTAATTTCCCACGTGCATAATGACAATTCACACGTGAATTTACCCATTAACCCCACAAAATCAGGCTATTAAAGCGTATCTATACTTTCCCACGGATAAGCGGACGTACTTGCTTGCAAATTATCTTTTTAGTATGTATAGTATTTTAATGAATTTTTGTTTTTATTTGTTTGTTTTGTTTTATATTATAATATATATATAATTATATACTATAAAAATAAAATATAATAAAAAAAAAAAATAAATAATAATATACAATCACCTCAGGCTTCTCCGCCCAACGTCGGCGGACCCCACGCGCTCGGATGGTTGCTCTCCACTAACGCTTTCCGGATCAATCACACGTATTTCCACCACGACTGGCAACTTCGGAAATATTCAAAAAGCAAGGCAGTCAATATGAAGATCGCGTAAAACTAAAACCGGACGTTAAAACAATCACATTGAATAAGTGTGTGTAAAGTCAAATATAGCTATATAGGCTATTAGATTATAGTTCACGGTGGCTTAATTCCCACTACGTCTAAAATTGACCAGGCGAATGCAGGGCCAGCATGGGCTATACAGGCCCACCAAAAGGCTGTTACAACAAAAAAATATCTACTTTACAATATAAACAAACAATATTAGTAAATTGAATCAATTAAACAAATACTGTCAAGTTGAATTATCCAACTACTAATACATTTTTAATATAACGCCTGCGGTATAAGAGAAAATAAATATAGTCACAATGAACTGAACGAAAAAAACAAATTAAACAAAGCACAATGTACAAAATTTGACTGACAAGCAACAGATGCGTGTGCGTGCGTCAGTTCATCTACCATAAAGTTGTACTATGTTTTCGCACACTGATCTAATTAATATTTAATCGTAAATTTTACGAAGCTAGCAATGCCATCGGATATAACATCATTGTAGATTCATATATCACCCGTTATCTGCGACACCCTCTTACTCGCCGCTAACCGCCTGAGGCTGAAATAGCTGCATATATTTATTGACAATACCTACTAACTTAGATAAGAGTAAGGTGCGCTGTCGCCTACAGACCAGCAGGACGCCTACACCAGTTCAACGAAGCGCAATGCGTATCTCCATTATATATGTCACCCTGATGTAGTTCAAACTGGACAGCAATCTGTATATATATAAAGTGAGTGAAAGTTATTAGTCGTCAGTCTGATTGCAGCCTCCGAAGTAGCAACATGAAGGTCCTCATCATTGCGCTATGCGCTGTCGTGTATATGGGTAAGTAGTTATTCGTTTATAACTTGGTAGGTATTGCTTGGTAGTGTGTCAGCGCTATATGGCGAGCGATTAATGCAGCCGTACTCGCAAATACTTTCCTATTGAATGCACAATAAATTCTAAAACATACACACAATATCCAATTACAAGTTAATACCGCATATTATACAATCAATAGAGTTACGAACACCATGACTAATTGTTGCATATTAATTATGATATACAACAGCCGCGGCCAGTCCGCTGGAAAAGCGTCTGGGAGTACCGATACAGGCAGAGGATGACTGCAACCCGAAGATCGGCGCCAAGAACTTCTCTACCGATGCCACCGATTGCCAGGTGTTCTACATCTGCGATCACGGATGGCCGAAGATCCGTCGTTGCCCAGGTGACACCATCTGGACACCAGCATTGGAGAGATGCACCGACAAGTACTTTGCGGTTAACGACGAGTGCAGATACGAGGCTCCACCCACACCAGCACCTGTGGAAATCGCTCCAGAAGATCTTGACCCAGGTATAATAAATTTAGTGT